GTAGCTAGGGTGAAAATCAAATATACTGCATTGCACACGAGCTTTTACTTTCTCTCGCCAATATATACCTTGGCGCACGTTCGTTTCGTATGCCTTTCGAGTTTCATTATGCAAAATACCTAAATTTATGCTAACATTGCCCCTGTTTTGCTAATGAAACTCATACCAATTGTAATTCATTCCTGCAAAACTGAAATTTAGCTTTAGGAATTGGTTTAGTCATAATATCAGCAACCATTTCCTCTGTTGAAAGATAAGCAAGTTTTACTATTCCTTTGTTATTCAAGTCGCGTATATGATGAACTTTTGTATCAATATGTTTTTGTGTGAACTGAATTTTTCAGATTCTACAAGTCTTATAGTAGACTGATTATCTTCAAATACCTTTATCGGTAGAGTTTGGGGTAGATTGAAATCTTCTGTTAATTTTAATAGCCATAATAGTTCTTGCGTAGCTTGCGATAGTGCAACATATTCAGCTTCTTCTGCTGAGGATAAAGAAACACAAGTTTGTTTTCTTGAAAACCATGAAATACAGTTTCCTTCCTAATAAAATAACACTTCCTGATGTAGATTTTCTATCTTCAATATCTTGTCCCCAATCAGCATCTGAATAAACTGTAATATTAGGTTCTTCACTCGACGAAATTTGTAAGGATAGTTTCTTTCTTTGTCGTGTTTAAGTATCTAATGATTCTTTTAACAGCATTCCAGTCCTTTTGACGTGGATTATTACACCTTCTGCTGAGTATGTGAGTTGAAGCTGTGATATCTGGTCTTGTGATAGACGATATATACAAAAGACTTCCAATAGCTTGGCGAAATTTATCATTTGAAGTTAGGAGATTTTCTTCCTTGTTTAGGTTATAATAGTTTGTTTCCATTGGTGTGCTAGCGTGTTTCGCTTCTTCAAGTTGAAATTGCTTGACAAGTTGATTTATTTTATTTTTCTGTGATAAGAGATAACTTCCATCTTCCTTGCGATTTATTTCCATGCCTAAGAAATATTTAGCTTCACCAAGATGCGTTATTTGGTAACGTTTCTTTAAATCATTAATTGTTTGAAGAATTAGTCCTTCTTCTGTAGAACTTATTAGGATGTCATCAACATACACTATTAAATTAATTCTTTTATCACGAACCACTTTTGTGAAAAGACACGGATCTGCTTTGCTTTGACTGAACCCCAGATTCTTCAGTGTATTTTCAATTTCTGCATTCCAGCACCTAGCTGCTTGTTTGAGACCATAAATCGACTTCTGTAATTTACAAACTTTATGTCTTTCTTCCGGAACCACGAATCCTTCTGGTTGTTCCATATATATTTCTTCATTTAAGTTGCCGTACAAAAAAGCTGTTTTAACATCTAGTTGATGTACCTTGGCATTATTATACGCTGCCCATGCTAAGAAAACTCTTATCGTAGTGTGTTTCACTACTGGTGAAAAAGTTTCATCATAATCACTGCCGTATTTTTGAGTAAATCCTTTGGCTACTAAGCGTGCTTTGTATTTTATATTTTTACCAGTTTCATCATATTTTGTCTTAAACACCCATTTGCTGCCTACTGCATGTTTTCCTGGTGGTAATTCTGTAAGTTTATAGGTTTCATTTTCTTTTAGAGAATGTATTTCTTCTTGCATAGCCTTGATCCAAGCTTCTTGTTCACGTTTTGGTAAGTTTAGAATTTCTTCAAAGCTTTCTGGATCTTTAATTTTAAGTAAGATTGATTCTTCGTCTTCTGCTTTATAAGAGAATCTTTCCGGTGGGACCCCTTTGGTTGATCTGCTAGAAACCCTTCTTTCTACATTTTCTTCACATTTAATTAACTCTTCGGAACTTTTTGAATCTTCTGTAAAATCATCGCCAAGAGATGTTTCTTCATTATTTTCTTCATCATTCTTGCGAGTTATTGAAGTGAATTAATTCTAAATCTTCAGCATTATTTTCTGCAAGTTTGTCAGGTAAAGACGCGTTTTCTGAAAATTTAACAGTTCTACTTACTATTATTTTTTTCTTCCACCTACATAAATCCTGTATCCCTTACTTCGTAAATCGTATCCTACGAATATTCCTTCTTCAGCTCTGTTGTCGAATTTACGCCCGTTTTTGTTTGTTCACATAATAAAATGCTTTACAGCCAAATACTCGTAAGTGACTTAAGTTTGGTTTTCTACCATTCCACAATTCATATGGTGTTCTATCTGTGGCTTTAGTTGGTAACCTATTTTGAAGATATGCAGCAGTAGCTGCTGCTTCAGCCCAGAATCCTTTCGGTAATTTAGAGTTTATTAGCATAGCTTTTGTCATTTCTATTAAAGAGCGATTTTTCCTTTCTGCGACGCCGTTCTGTGCCGGACAATAAGGAACCGAAGTTTGGTGAAAAAAAAAATGCCGAGTTTCTTTAAATAATTTTCAGTACTTTCGTTACAGTATTCTGTACCGTTGTCGGATCTGAGAACCTTTATTTTCTTTCTAAATTTATTTGTTGTCGATGCAACATACTGTTTAAGTTTGTCGAATACTTCATCTTTTGAAGTAATAAAATAAATTTGAGTATAACGCGAATAGTCATCAATGAAAGTTACGAAATATCTTTTCCCTCCTAAGCTGTTGACTTCAATTGGCCCACACACATCTGTGTGCACTAAATCCAGTGGATTTTTAGATCTAAAACTAGTTTTGGGATAAGGTGTTTTCAGTTAGTTTCGCTTTTACACAAGTAGAACATTCCACACTATGAGTGCATTTGCCAAGTTTAATGCCGTCTGCCAAATCATTTTTCTCAAGTGTTTTTATGGCATCTATATTTCTGTGGCCTAATCTTTGATGCCATTTTAGTATACAGTTCGTATTTGAACATGAAACATTATTAGCTAAGTATGCTTTCTCATCAATTGGGTTTACGGTCAATTTATATAAACCTTGCTGAGCGTTGCCGTCGGCTACGAGTATATTGTTACGCTTTATGTAACACTTATTACTATCAAATGTAACAATGCATGCAACCTTTATTGGTAACAGATTGAACAGAAAGTAAATTACTATCTAAACCTGGTACATACAATACATTTTCCAATTTTATTTGTGTAACCTGACCCTTTAAGTTTTGAACTTTAAAATAACCTTCACCAATACCATAAGAATTTAATTTAGCACCATTGGCTACAGTTACTATTTGTTTATTAGAGTCATTTAACTGAGAGAAAAATTTTTTATCACTCGTCATATGAGTTGAGGCTCCTGAGTCGATAACCCATTCTTGCGTTTGCGTGTTTTCATGTTTATTTTCCACTTTTAGAACTTGATTAAACTGAATCTGTGTATTTTCAGTTTCAATACTTTTAAAATACTTATTTTCTTTAAGTTTTGTTATGTTTTCTACACTTTGCTATTTGGCATGCATTACTTTTATAATTTTGAGAATAATTTCTTACTTTACTATTATTTACATCTGTTTTCGGGGAAGTTCTAGCTTTGCGTTTTAAATGAAAACAGTCATTTATCGTATGGTTATTTCTCTTACAATAAGTACAAAATTGTGTAACATACTTTGGTTTATTTTCGCTTTTACTTTTTAAAGCAACTGAATCGTACTTTTGAACTTTCTTAGTTTCCACACGTCTACAATACTCATCTATTAGTTTGTTTTTAACATATTCTAGCGACAATTCAGCTTCCGATTTACTTTCTATTGCAGTTATTAAGGAGTTGTATGAATTTGGTAAAGAACATAGTAGTATTGCTATTAAGTTATTTTCTTTAATTTCTTCACCTATACTACTACGCAGCTTTTCAGCCAACTTCTAGTACTCCTTTGATATGTTCCTGCATTTTAGAACTTTCATTATATCTAATGGAATATAGTTTTCTAAGAAGAAATAACTTATTTGTTAAATTTACACGTTCATGGACACATTTTAACTTCTGCCAAACTTCTTTTGCAGATTTACTATGTAAAACATGGATAATTTGCGAATCCGAAATGTTTAGACATATTAAAGCTTTAGCTTTACGATCATTCTTTAACCAAATATCAGTATCAGTTTCCGGTTTTTCTTCGAATACAACATCATCTAAACCTTCTTTTATTAGAAGTTGTTTTATTTTAAATTTCCACACTGAATAATTTTCATCTGTTAATTTTTTTCTATACAAATTGATTCTTTTAGAATAGACATTATTACTTGTTACAATTATTCTTATAAATAAACTTTGTAACTAGTTTTTTTTTTTTTTTTTTTTTTTTTTCAACAAAGAGTTTTAACACTTTATGCCCCTGGAATCTTACAACATTACAAAATTTCAATTTCTCAGTCTCATAATCTTTTGTTGGTTGTGCATTAGCACTGAAGGCGTAATGAGTACGTTTCCTCAAGCACAGAATTAAAGAATCATAAGTCAAAAGATTAAACTACGAAATCTTTATTTAATAAAATAGGATAATTCTGCTTAACTTAAGCATAACAAAAAGTAATAATCTTCACAGGACATTAAAATTGAAGTATTCAAAAGAATAACTTACATAGAATCATCATCAGTCCTAAATATCATCAGGCTTACCTATATTAGGCAATAAGAAAAATAAACAGGAATATACTTTGCCATCGTACCTGAAAGAGAAGAAAGTACTACTGGATTAGACCTTTGGCCAGGTACAAGTAGCTAGGGTGAAAATAAAATATACTGCATTGCACACGAGCTTTACTTTCTCTCGCCAATGTATACCTTGGCGCACGTTCGTTTCGTATGCCTTTCGAGTTTCATTATGCAAAATACCTAAATTTATGCTAACAAAATGTTATTAACTTTTTAATATGCTTTTTAAAATTAAAGTTACACACGCTTACAAAATTCTGTATCCAGTTTACTCTTAAAACACTAAATTTCTGGCATCATCCCCTCCCTCCATGTTATCTAACATTTCGTGCATAAACTTTTATGACTTCTGTAGTGCGTAAAATATCAAGGATTTTTATACATTTATCTTATTTTATTAGGTAATAGTTCAAAGAGCACTGTCTGCGAAAGATCTTTCCCATGCTAAGGGGGGATGCATTTTGGCAGGTTATCTGAAAATGCTTCCTCTTTTCCTGCTAGTTTTCCCTGGAATGGCATCAAGAATTTTATTTCCAAGTAAGTAAACTAAGAGTGTTGATGTTTTGGTGTTATCATTATTTACAAAGGGGTGGATTATCATTATTTACAAAGGGGTGAATTAGCATTTTCCCTGGTGTAATGGAATAATTCTATTATAGAAAGAATCTGTTAAACTATTTAACGAATGTTGAGCTTTGTGTTTAAATGAACATATGTTTCTTATACTCATTTCATACTAATTATAATTTCGCAATGATATTTCTTTGAAAAGGATAAAATTTGTCGAAAATTTAGATAACTATGCATGTCCTAAAAAATAACGCTGTATATCAGCGCTTTTGTATGTAACCAAAACACTGATTAAAAAAAAAGACATCGCTTTAAAAATGTCTTTAAAATCTGTGTTATCCAGAAAAAGACATAATTTTAGACGGTTAAAAAAAAGCGGTACAAATTTAATGTATTGAAAGAAATGTTAAAAAGAAGTGTTAAAATCGTCTGAATATTGGAATATTTCTCTATGATGGAAAGGTTGAAAGAATTGAAATCAGATGCTATAATTTGTAACTTTAAAATAGTCGCTTTTTTCATGCTGCTCTGTCATGCACCCATAGCAATGGCTGCTAATGAAGATGGTAGAGTCCTCTAATTTTATAAAATCTCAGAATCACCCTCTATGCAGTACTTAGGAAGCATGTTACGATCGTAAATGAAGGGAGGCTCATTATGGCTCTGAAGCTCCTATTTTAAAGTAACAGACTGTAGTCAGAAATATGAACCATAAATTAGAAATTCAATATTGTTGAAATAATTGGCGAAAGAAAAATAATTGTTAAAAATAGGATATTTAAAAATTGACTTGAATGCAATGAGTAAAATCACTTGGTAAACACACAACAAGCATTTATTTTTCGAAGAACGTTACAAGTTTACTATAGCGAAAGGTTCCATCATAGAAGGGACAACTATTGCAATCTGTTGCCGTTTTCTTAAAGCTAAACAGTAGTTGAAATCTGCAAGTTCTTCGGTAACCTTAGAGCAACCGAGAGAAGAGATGATTAAAATTAAAACCTGCGAATTAAGGCAGTTTTTCTATTCTTAGTAATTTTAATACCAAAATATTAACTCGAATTATCAGCTTTAGATGCATTAGGTTCTTATTGGTTTGGTTTATTTAATTATGACAAAGCACACTAGGGCTATCTGCCTAAGGGGATGGATGCCTTCGTGGCATTAGGTTCTTATAAAGAAATGTTTTGAGGTAAGTAACTGGATGGTGCCAGAGATTAAGCTTTTTATGTGTACAGTAAAACTCCAATTATACGAACCAGTTGCGACCGGACCCCATGCGGATGCGTTTTTTTTTTTTTTTTTTTTTTTTTTCTGTCTGCTTCAACTACGACATTAATGTCATCTTTCTCAATATTTTTTTCTCTCACGCTTTCAATAATTTCATCATCATTTAGAATTTGAAACACAGGGTGTGCTGAATCCAAATAATTCTCCTAGTTTTAACATTTAGTAGTTTCGTAATTATAAGGTTATGAGAAATAACATTTAGTTGGAGTTTATTTTATTGCAGATAATAATAAAATAATACGTAGAAATGATAGATATAATCCATGAGTGAAAGTTATGTTTAGAATATTTTTATGGAAAAAGATGTAGAATTCTCTTCCGCTTTCAGATGAGATAGCATGTTCCAGTCCTGCCGCCTGTAAAGAGATATGCGGAAGTGAGCTAGGCTGTACAAACATCGCTTATCCAAAGCTGGTCTTAGAACTGATGCCCGCTGGTAAGTATGAAAATCCAATAATATGATTCGTTATTTTATTTTATAATTATTGCATAATGCAGATAATATTTAAAAATGCCCCTTTAAAATCTGAAACCTTTCAGATTTTTTTTTCTTTTTTTCTTTAGAAAAGTTTTTAGCTTGCCATATGACAAAGTTTTGGCCTGCTATATTTGCTGTTAAATCTGCATTATCTCCTCGCCAACTATAAGTGCTACCATTCGCGAAACAAGATTTTTAATTTATCATCCATACGACTCGTGCATAACACATTTTAAAAATATTATTATTCTTCAAAATTTAATCGCTTTCAATTCGTTTTTCGAATTTAATTAATATGTAATTCCTTAAAAAACCTAAGAAATTAAAAAGCTGAAAAGCATTTCTTAGATTTTTTTTTTCTAATAAAAATATGACTAATTTTTAAAGTCATCTACGTATTTGGCTTAGCTTTCTTCCGAAGAACAGCAGTTTGTGGTTTTCAGTATCCAAATATACAATATTTTAACAAGTTTTAAATCTATGACAATTTGTTGACCTAAGGAAAGTTTTTTAACTGTTTTTAATATATATAGGTCTTAAATTTTAGCACGTACCTTTTTTTCTTTAGGCGCTCGTGGACTTATGATTTCCGTCATGTTAGCTGCATTAATGAGTTCTCTGACGTCAATCTTCAACAGTAGTTCAACAATCTTCACTATAGACATCTGGAAAAGAATACGGAAACGAGCTTCTGATACTGAACTTCTGATTGCTGGAAGGTAAGAAACTTGTTTATTCTCCTTTGAAACATCAGGCTAAGGGAATAAAAGTTAGTTCTCATAATGGATAAAATTGATTTAAATAACAGATAGCATGTAGATCAAGAATAAAAACAAACAATTCTTACTATTTTTAGAACTATATTTTTCTTTCCCCAAAGTAACTGAAAGAATTTTGAAATGAAGTTCTTAATAGTTATTCATAATTTTTTCAGTTACGTATAAAAGTCTAAATCGGATATTATACCGATCTGGTATCGCAGTCGGCTATACTAACCACTATACCATCTGGGCGGCATTTATGTTTCATATTTGATGAAAGACTTAATTTTAAACACCAAGTAATTTATGCTGTCAATAAAACCAATGCAGTCTTTATGGCTATTTACTGTTGTATCGGAAGAAAGTCCAAATTCCGTATTCGTGTCAAGCGAATTCTTTACTTAATTCTCATCTGGTCAATTTTTTACTTGTGCAATTCTTCGTAATTTCTGTATGCAATTTCCATAAAAACGGATAAACCCTTTTTATCAATTACGATATTCCGAAATTCATAAATCACTGTCAAGTAAATGTTACCACCCAAACCTTGGTAGTTCAGATTAACATTTGCTTAGTTCCAAATCACGAGCAAGACAATTGAACTATACTTGAGGATCACTGTGACACTGAGTACTTTTCTAGTCGTGCTGCTCCTGCTGCTCCTTCTGCTAGATTCTGCTAGATGTCTAGATTCTTTTTAGACCAAAGGTACATCTTTGTTTCTTTCCCTTTAATCTACTGTCTAAACTGATTCATCCTAACGGAAACAAAACATAAAATGTTTGCAAGCTGTTCGCATTACATTAGCTATACATTTTCTACCCTTCATACTCACTATTTTGCTATAATTAAATCACTGTTTCAAGAGGTATAATGATTTCTATATGTGCCTGTTTATGAACTTGCAGAGACATTAGGTTATTTGGAAGCATGAAAGATGAAAAATATACAACGCCTTCGCCGGGAATCGAACCGCGGACCTCTGGGAATATGCGCCCAGTGTGCAGACCACCACACCACGAAGGCATGCCAAGAAGGGGGGAGAAATACCCTATAAACTTATTACATGTATAAACCTAAATGAACGATCTGCGTCAAACTGTTTCACGTCTCATAAGACTTCCTCGTGTTAACAATCTTTACGACATTTATACTTTTTGTGTCACCCTTTTCTGGGGATATTTGTTTGCATTCCGTACGCAACTGAAAAACTAAAATAATATCACACAGAAAATATCAATAGAAATATATCCGAAACAAGAACTTAAATTTAATATTGCGAGATCTTTAATCTCCGCGCCTACGTATTTATTAAATAGATTGAAATTTCACAAAGGAAACCTTTCTAATGGAATAATGAATACAACACATCGTAAAACATGCATCGGTGTAGTAATTGTGTAAAAATATTACCGCTTATTTTCATTTGAATTAGACATAAAAGCAACTTAGTTTGGGATAGATTTTGATTGAAGCTCAATGTATTTCGAAGGCGATCAAACACAGGCCCCTCTTCTTCAGAAACAAAAAAAAAAAAAAAAAAAAAAAATTGTAAATAGAGGCAGAAAATGAAACTCTAAGAAATTTCTCAGAATTGTTGCTTAGTAGTAAAATGTCAAATTGGAAAAGAAATACTGCTAAATAAAAATTTAAAATTAGTCAAAGAAAGAAATCTTAGTTTGGCTCAGATTTTGAATAACCCTCAATCGATTTCGAGGTCGACCAGGCAGAAGTCCCTGTTCTTCAGAAAAATGAAACAGGCTTCTTTTTATTCATTTTTAATTTTACGGTGGAGAGCTTTTTCTTTTTAATTTGATTTAATATATTTATTTTTACGTAATAGTAGAGTACTTAAAGAAATATTATATATATATATATAAAGCTGTTTGGATGTCGAATTGGGCTAATTACCATTTTCGCTTACTTTTTAACTTTTCTGTTATTTAATTTTATTTGTATTTATGTTGTACATGTCTAATGATTTGTTTTTCATGTGTATTAATTTTTGAAAACGTCTTTAACCTTTTGGAGCAGCAGCTCTTGGTAATTTTAGACGAGCTTTCTACAATTTTTATTTTTTACTTATTTTGCAGCATATGCGCAAGATGTTTTCTTGACCAAAATTGTTATTACTGCTTTGCTGATAAATTATATATATATATATATATATATATATATATATATATATATATAACACTGAAGTGACAAAAGTCATGGGATACCTTCTAATATTTTGTCGGTCCTCCTTTTGTCCGGCGAAGGGCAGCAACTCGACGGGGCGTAGAGTCAACAAGTCGTTGGAAGTCCCCTCCAGGAATATTGAGCCATGCTGCCTCTATAGACGTCCATAATTGTGAAAGTGTTACGGTGCAGGGTTTTGGGCACGAACTGACCTGTGACTGTCCCATAAATGTTCGATGGGATTCATGTCGGGCGATCTAGGTGGCCAGATCATACGCTGGAATTGTCCAGAATGTTCTTCTAACCAATCGCGAACAATTGTGGCCCGGTGACATGGCGCATTGTCATCCACAAAAATCCCATCGTTGTTTTAGTACGAGAAGTCCATGAATGGCTGTAAGTGATCTCCAAGTAGCTGAAGGTATCCATTTCCAGTCAATGATTGGTTCAGTTGCACCAGAGGACCGAGTCCATGCCATGTAAAAACAGACCAGCCCATTATGAAACCACCACCAGCTTGAACAGTGCCTTGTTGACAACTTGGGTCCATGGCTTCGTAGGGTCTGCGCCACACTCGAACCCTACCATCAGCTCTTACCAACTGAAATCGTGTCTCATCCGACCAAGCCACGGTTTTCCATCCGTTTAGGGACCAACCGATATGCTCACGAGAGTCGCTGCAGGCGATGTCGTGCTGTCAGTAAAGGCACTCGAGTCGGTCTTCTGCTGGCATAGCCCAAGGAAGACAAATTTCGCCGCACTGTCCTATCGGACACGTTGATTGGGACACGCCCCACATTGATTTCTGCAGTTATTTGACGCAGTGTTGCTTGTCTGTGAACATTGACAACTCTACGCAGACGTCGCTGGTCTCGGTCGTTAAGTGCAGGTGGTCGGCCACTGCGCTGTCCATGGTGGGATGTCATGCCTGAAATTAGATACTTTCGGAACACTCTTGACACTGTGGATCTCGGAATGTTGAATTCCCTAACGATATCCGAAATGGAATGACCTATGCATCTAGCTTCAACTACCATTCCGCATTCAAAGTCTGTTAATTCTCGTCGTGCGGCCATAATCACGTCAAAGCCTCTTCACATGAATAACTTGAACACAAATGAAAGCTCTGCCAAAGCACTTCGCATTTATACATTTTATACGCGATACTACTGCCATCTGTATATTTGCATATTACTATCCCATGACTTTTGTCACTTCAGTGTATATATATGCTGCTCCATTATTAGTGGAAAAAGATGTAAGATTCCAGTTAAGTTACTTTTTTACCTAGATCTTTACTTGAACTGTGAATCGACTATTCGCTAAGTTCAACTGTATCAATAACAACTCATGGAAAGGGTGAAAAGACCCATTTAATTCAACTCAACAAAAGTATTTACAGTCTGCACTCCGGGTGCTTACAAATCTACGCAAATACTTTTGGCGGCAACTCAAAATAGAAATGTAAAATTTAAAACTAAGTGAAATAATCAGCCGAAGTTGTATAGAGATACTTAACGAGTAGTTGGCTCTTGGCCATACCATCGACGTAGACTAACCGGCAATTAATATACACGGTCGTAAAATAGCAAGCTTAATTACATAGTGGACGAATGCAGAACATGCTCTGTCTGAAGTAACTCAGACACCATCATAATTATTATCTTTCTACCCTACTTTACATAACGCACGAAACTGAAATCTGATTCTGGCAAGCAAGCGTGGTTTGAGAACAAGAGCAATAGGAAAGGTTGCTTCAAAATAAATTAAATAAATCTTCACAAAGAATACATAGTAGTAAATAGTATACTTTGTATTAATATAAATAATGCACGATATGTTACAGTATGCAATAATATATGCATGCAATAATAGTGTGATAAGAGTAATGCAAAATATCATAAGGCATTTATGCCTTGCCTGCACTGCATGAGAACGTCAGGAAAAGCGTGCGTTAAAATACTCTGGCTTAGGAATGCCAGTACACAGAGACACTTCAGCGTTCGAAATTCAATTATCTTTTTGCTAAAAAGACATTCGATCCACAAAAAAATAATAAAATAAAATCTTAAAGGTTTCAGATTTTAAATTACTTTCAAGGGGAGTATTTTTAACATTCTCTGTGTTACGCTTATTTATTAAATATCATGGTCTTCGCACTTAAACCATAAAATTCAGTCCAACAACAATATCTTAAAATGAGCATATCTTTAGAATTTCCAAATACAAAGTCTCGCACGCTGGAGATAAAAACGTTTTATTTTTCGCACAGTGGTACCATTGCTCGCTTTGAAATCATTTAGTTTGTTAATAAAAAATTCGTTGAAGTGTTACAAAATATTAATATATATATATAAGCGAAATACCATTGACTCATCACGAAATCTCCGAAACTATACACCCGATTGACTTTGAGTTTTGCATAGTTACTCATTCCACGATGTAGACGCGCACTAAAGAACAGATTTTACGTAAAATAGATTTTTGTTATACAATGGTTTTCAAATCCAAGTTCAGAATTTTCTTTTATTGTTGCCAAAACTAGATATGAAATACATGTTGCCAATGAATGCATTTTTTTCTAAAATTGTTAAATTGGTAAATAACTTGCATCTCTCCAATGAATACAGACAACATTTAAATGATAAGTTTAATAATAACATTTATATTTAACTGTTATCATAAGATTCATGAAAATAAATGTTATTATTAAGAGAAATAAATTATTGGAATGAAAAATAAAATTGTTATTTATAAAAATTGCCATACATAAAAAATCAAGGACAAATAATTATAATAAATTAAAAAATTTGATAACAAAGATAATAATATTTATTTTCATGAAACTTATGATAACAGTTAAATATATATAAAACTTAATTTTATGTTGGCAATTTTTCGTGGTGTAGGCCTACTGGGTATCCGCCACGTTAATTAATGGGGATGCATCCCAATACACAGTACCTCATGGGTGAAGTGGAAATCTGTCACTGACTGGCACTATATTTCCCGATTTTAAATTTAAAAAAAAAACTACATTAATTATCAATTCGAAATTAGACATTTCGTCCATATTAGAAGTCTAGACTCGCATCCAAATACAAAGTGTGTCCAGCAAAGCGGGAGGTATCAGCTAGTCGATTATAAAAGGAATTTCAATTTCAAATTAGGGCTTTCACATGTCCATATTCTATGGTAGATTACGTCATTCAAATTTTGATGGCTCTAGGTACCGTTGTTTTATCACAATACGAGAAACATACATACATTTATGCGGATTCTTCATTATTTAATTTCTTTAAATATAATATAGAGCGATAATATTTGGCAGCAACAATTTGAAAGGTGAAACAATGCTTATTGTGAATCGACGCAAAATGCCAAAACGAAAGTTAATAGTCCTTCTGGGCAAATTGCTCCTTTCGACTAAAAATTTGAAGGTGCATTTCTATAATAGCTTTATATTGCTATCTTTTAAATTAAACAAAAAGAAATGTTCTTCTAAAATAAATTACTGATGTAAAAATGAACAACAGATTTTTAACTTTTCTGTTTTACTTTTCAGATTATTCGTCGTATTTCTAGTGGTTGTAAGCATTATATGGATACCTATAATCCAAGCTGCGCAGAACAGTCAGTTGTTTCATTACATTCAAAGCGTCACATCGTTTTTGGCTCCCCCAGTGTGTGCCGTCTATGTTCTAGCAATAGTGTGCAAAAGAGTCAATGAACAGGTAAAAGCAGTTTTTCTCACAATACGATGATAAGCTTTAGGACACTGCATGTTTTGATTTCCTGACTATTCGTGGCTCAACAAAACATGCTTGTAGCTTTTGTTAACATTAAGTATTTTTTAGAGGGAATGTATTGATTTAACCTATAAATTTGCGCAAAACATTCATAGCCTCGAAAGCTAATGAAGTGTATTTCCCCCCATTTTAAATTTCCGTTACCTAATATATATAATAGATTTAGTTTGCAGATTTATGAGGAAAGGAACAATATATGTAGCTTTTAACAAATCTACAATATATATATATATACAGTAGAACTCCAATTATTTGAATCAATTGGGACCGGTCCCCATTCGGATAATCAAAAATTCTGATAATTGGATTTTTTCTGAAGAGAGGGTTTACGTACACTTTAATTAATTACTGTGTAAGATTCTCACTAGTGTAATTCTCAGTTGCTGTAGAAAGTGAGGAATCTTAAGAACTAGTTAGCGAATAATCGCTTACGTTCGTGTGACAAGAAACAACAAGATGGAAGGGTAATTAACCCTTTATTATTCCAATAAGATTTAACAAAACATCGTCTTGGAGTATACAATCAAAACCGACACTTGGGCTTGAACTTAAAAGACTAAAAATTAAACTAAAACTAAGATTAACTAAAGAGATATAGCCAAAGCTATCAAGATTCTAATCGAGTTGGCCCCTTAACTCTATTTGACTACGAAGCTTATCAAGGGCCTGAGTACGGCCGAACGTTATAACAGCTTTGAGAGAGAGAGAGTAGCCAATGGGCAGACACGCGTAAATCAGAAACTCTGATTCTCTCTAACTCTGCAAGTAGACTTCGCATTTTAAATACCGCTCCTCCTCATTAAGTAATCAGAAAGATTCCAAAACTACGTTCTGGCCGGAAGTAGTAAGTTGAAGTTAAGAATTTGACAGGAAAGGAACTTAAAATTTAACTGTTAATAAAATTAACATAATCCTTACAACTGTATGTACTGTATATTGAAAATGGGAGGAAAAAACTATTTTTAAAGAAAAAGAGTTTTTAATCAAAATGAAAAGGCAACACTTTTACGTACATGTTATATAGCGTACTGTGCGGTATTTACAAGTGTCGAAAGTCATTGCTTGCTGCATCTCGGTCAAAGTAAACTGTTTGACTGTCATAATCCGGGCAGCCAAGTCGCGCGTCCGCTCGACAATGAGAAGTTGCATGTCGTCACACTCGGGCTGACGCTCCCTCCACTTCACTAGCTGATGGTCCCGCGCCTGCTTTAACTTCGACATTAAGGTCATCTTCTTCCTCGACGCTTTCTTCTCTCATAGTTTCAATAAGTTAATCGTTTAGAATTTGAGACCCAGGGTCTGACGAATCGTACACCATCCATTCTGCTATATCCTCAGCGATCACTTTTGAACATTCAGAAATTTTCAAAAGAACATTTCTTAATTCCTCAAGTGACACGTCATCCTCATCTTCTCGTGTCTCTTCCCGTTCCCTTTTTTTTTTATCTTCTTTTTCCTTTTTCTCCTTTTCCTTCTCTTCTTCAGTTGATTCTGAAAAATTCTGTTTTACTTTTAGTGATTTGGATAATCAGCGATTTGGATAGTCGCAGTTCGGATAATTGAGTTACTGTATATATATATATATATATATATATATATATATATGCAGTACAACTATTGTATATATATATATATATATTCTATTTCGACCGAGCGCTCATTCTATGCCATTAGATCTAAATATAATTTTGAAAAACTGACGATCAGCATGTTATTGAAAGCATCCTTCCACTGTGCGCTATAAAGACCATCGTAACTTTAGCATACAGACATTGCAGCTGTTTTAAGTAATATTAAGAGAACCTAGCTATAGTCAGTTTCAGATTGCTATAAAATTTTGTTAAATATACTATTGCGAAACATGACTGTCAAAATTATGTTATTGCTTATTGACGAAACACTGCCAAACTAAAAATTCAAATGAATTAAATAAGCATAATAAATCACAGAACTAAATTTCTAACCTGAAAATGACACCCATTATTTGTTCAATCGCACACAAACAATTCTACATTACAACTAATAACTTCCCAAGCTGGCCTTTGGTTGCTCCATTTTATAGCCAGGAAAATTAAAGCATTACAATTCGATTATACACTTGTAGAGACAGATATATAAAATTTTTATATGAAATATAAAAAAAATTATTGTTAAAAAAGAATTTTGGATATAAAAGTATAACTTTACTTGTGGAATTTATTGTTGCATAATTATGAAAATGAAACATATTGTCCTAAAATAATACTAAGACAATTTTTGTGTATATTAGAAGATTAGATCAATTCGCGCCGTTAAAAAGAAGCAAAAAAGAAACCCAAAACGAAGTCTGGATAAAATATCTTTTTTAATGCATTACTGTGTTGCTTATTTTAGCATTTAATTGGTTTATTACAAAAGCAAAACGAGAAGGATCTTGTGACTAATTGGAAACAGTATGAAGTACATATAAACTAAATATTGAATAGGACAAAAGGAATGTCAGAACGAATCTAAAGAAAATGGGGCAAGTTAAGTCAAGCAAAAACGGACTAATAAACTGAAAGACGTGAATATGGATGAGCAATTTTATTTCTGTTTATTAAGCAACCTTTGAATTATTAAACAAAAGATATAAATGAACACGAAATCTGAAATCTACAGATTCAATTTCTATATTCTGCATATTGAAATCTGCAGATTCTTTTTCATATTTTGTTAAACTTTAGCGAATTTTTGATTAAAAAAACTCAACGGTTTCAAAACGAACAGTGACAGCACTGTACGGAATAAAACATTTTGATCTTCAGTGCACGAGACTGTTTATCGAAAATTCTAAAGGTATGCTGTTTTAAAATATTTTAGCCCAAAGGGGCATTAGCCCGAATGCTCTCGAAACGTATACGTGTGGGTAAATATAAAAAACAACCCTTTAGGCGTAATATAAAATCTGAAAGTTTTCAGACTTTTTTAAAAATTTTATTCATTGAGATTTCTTTAATTACTAAAAAGCAGTTTCTTAGCATAAACCAATTAATATCTGGGTGATATCCTTGCAATTAAATTTTATCGCATTTTCAAAGAAAATTTTAGATGCGTTTCAGATTTTGCATGTATAAAACGGTGATAAAGGGAATGTTTTATTTGAATCTGTATAGAATAATTTTCATTCTTATTTCTACAGGGTGCATTCTGGGGTCTCATGACAGGCCTTATTGTAGGCTTAATCCGGTTCATTTGGGAGTTTTCCTACAGTGTTCCTAGTTGTGCTTCTCAGGAACAAGATCCTCGACCGGATATAATCTCTAAAGTCCATTATTTACACTTTGGAATTCTTTTATTTATCCTGTCATCTGCAGTCACCATTGGCATTTCTCTTTTAACTGAGCCCATTGCTAAAATACACGTAAGTATGAAAATATCGTTAGTTAAATTTTGAACGAACATGTGCTTAAAAGGTGACATTTGCAAAAACATGCCGAAATATTTGTAAAGTGTATGGTGAGAATGCCGTGAGTGAACGAAGGACCCAGGAGTGGCTTGCTCGATTCCTTTCCGGAAATTTCAATATCAAACTTGCGCCTCGATATGGTCGGCCAGTCACTGAAAACGTTGATGAAATTTTGCACTTGGTGGAGCAAGACCGGCACGAAGCTGTCAGGAAATAGCAGAGGCACTAAACATCAACCACATGACAGTTTAGAATCATTTGAAAAGAGCAAGTTACAAAAAGAAGCTCAATGTTTGGGTGCACATAAATTGCAACCTGTTGCGACCTGGGAAACCGTCATTTCGGCCCTGTACTGTGCACAACTCGAATGTTTGAACGAAGCAATACAGAAAGAGCGACCAGAATTGGCCAAAAGAAAGGGAGCTGTGTTTCATCATGACATTCCGCGACCAAACACATCTTTGATGACTGGAAAATAGTGATGAGTCGGTACTACCGAACCGGGTATTTTGTAACGGGTACTGAAAATCGGTACATCCAAGTACCCGTTACTTCAGTACCGAAATCGGTACTTTTCGGTATTTGTTACTTCTGTACCGAAACGGGTACTTTTCGGTATTCGTTACTTCTGTACCGAAACGGGGCACTTTTCGGTATTCGTTACTTCTGTACCGAAACGGATACTTTTCGATATTCGTTACTTCTGTACCGAAACGGGTACTTTTCGGTATTCGTTATTTCTGTACCGAAACGGGTGCTTTTCAGTATTCGTTACTTTGTAACGAAAATATGCGTCTCTTCTCGGTATTTCGGTATTCGTTACTGGAGGATCGATTAGGGTTCAGCTCACTTCGGTTTTGGTACGAGGACAGTAGTATCTGCTTGTATTTGCGAAATGGTGATATGCGCTCCTTGTGTCCATGAATGGTCTGCTCCTCTGACACTTCCGTAGTTGACATGTTTTCTGATACTCAAAATCTTACTCCGTACAGATAAAATCAAACACGTGGTGACGTGGCAGAAGTCCTTCAGTGCGCAAAATCGTTAGCTGCGTATTTCGGTACTCCAAATCCTTACTAGGGTACTTTGGTACTCCAAATCGTTACTAGGGTACTCCGGTACAGAAAACCGTTACTAGGGTACTCCGGTACAGCAAACCGTTACTGGGGTACTACGGTACAGCAAACCGTTACTCCGGTATTTCGTTACTTCGGTACTCCAAATCGTTACTTGGGTACTCGGTACTTGAAATCGGTTTTCGGTACTTTTCAAAGTAACGGTTACTTGAGTAACGGGGGGGGGGGTTTGAGTAACAACCGAAGCACTGTTGAAATCACTCGTTCAAGTTTTTCGACGATAAACCACAGAAGTTGTACACCGATGGAATTATGAAGCTACCCTAAAAATGGCAAAAGGTCATAGATAATAATGGTCAATATGTACTTGACTAAAATTGATTTTCAATAAAGAAAATTCTTGTTAAAAAATGTACCAAAAAGCGAGGACTCTTTTTATATGACCTAATATATTACATTATAAAGCTTAGAACAAGGCTTTCGAATCTCTTTTGTGATTCGCGCATTTCAGATATATACATAAAACTTTAATAATAAACTATACCCTTGAAGCAAAAGCAAAACTTCTGCATTCATAAGTACTTATGATAGATAATAATTTGCTTTTGAGAGAGTAACAGCACTTACATTATTCTCTTGCTTCAAGGAATGCTCCTTTTATCTACTCGAGCATTAAGTAAGTCAGGGATTGCAAAACTGCATGTCAGTCAAAACAGAGGACTGGAAATTCAGAAATTTCTTTAGGACATTTTAAATTTCCATTTTACAACGTATTTATGTTATTTTTTAATCTGAATGTGATCCCGAATTTTAACAAAACCACTAAATTCATTGCCGACTACTTCCACAAATTTTTCATGCAAAAATATATACCTTTTTGTTTTCAACTCATTAATTAATAAAAGTATTTTTCTAATTTTTATGTTAATTCAGCAAGGAATATATAAATCATTAGAGTTTATTTGTATAGAGCTTTCTTCACAAATAATATTGAAACTTTTTTCGTAAAACTTCGCACCATATTTTCTTATTGAAAAGGCTAACTTCAAGTGAATTTTTAAGAAAATAAAGCCTTTGTTCCGGAGTTTATTGATATTTTAAGTAATTTGCTTCTATCATATGACATACAAATTTTTAAAAAAATTGTGAATTAATTTTTTTTTTCACTTCATAGTTACACAGACTTACATTTTGGAATCGTCGCAGTGAGGATGTGAGAGTAGAGATAACGAAGAAGAAAATTATACCAGACATCAACGAGAATGGTAAAGAAGTAATAAATGAAGCTTTTCAGGATGATGATTACAAAACTACTTCATTCGACAATAAAGATTACTTGAATCAGGCTGTTGTTATAGTAGACGAAGAACCTGTTAAGGTATTCAAAGACGTCGTATGTGATCCTAATCCGAAAAATGAAGGTAAGTACCTTTCTGCAGCAGAGTAAATTTTTCTTTCACATTTCGCGTATCACGTATCCACATTAGAGAGCTAGTCTTTTTTCCACATGCTACGAAGTATGCCAAAGCAATGCGATGCGGAAAAGGAAAAAAATTAAGTTTTCAGAAAGCTCCAAAAGAGGGTTTTTTTTTTTATGTTGTGTAGAATAAACTAAATAATTATAAGATGCATTAGTAGTTGTGAAATATCGACGCAGATAATTATAACGCATGTGTTTTTTTGGTGTCCGCTGATAACATCGCGGCAAAATCATCGCAGGGGAAAACGTCGCGGAGAAAACAACTCACGGCGAAAACGTCGCGCTACAAAACATCGTGGGAGAAAACATCGCAAAGAGAAAACATCGCAGTTCTAAAACATCGTGGTACTACTCTAAATCCACCCCTTCCAAAATCGCTTGTATTTTTTTTTTTTTTTTTTTTTTAAACAAGGAGGAAAAGATTGTCGACCGCCATCTTTGGCCACATAAGAGTAGTCATCATCTTACGACTGTCAGTGTATTTTATTTATTTATTTATTTATTTTTATTTTTTTTTTATTAGTACTACACATCATTCGTGCCAAGTGCGTGTTTGCATTCAGCTCAAGTAGTATTTTCCTTTATTAGTGCTACAGTGCAATTCCTCATCCAAGTTCATATCTGTTAAAGTGTGTGCATTGCTTATTTTGAAAGAGATTTTAACGCTTACGAAGTATTTACCTCTTACATACCCCAGTCCGAACTAGTGCTATAGCACTTACTCAATATATGTAAAGATGATTTTTGAGATTTCACCATACATCTCCTTATTCATTATTAATACCGGAAGTTTGTGCATCGTGTTCTTGCAGTACGGTACATACTTTATCGGCAGTGTATGCGATTTGATTGTACATCTCCTCATTCAAGTTTAATGCTACGAAGAGCTCCAGTATTCATCATATTATTCAGTGCTTTGACATAGTGCGTGTGAATATTATTCAGTACTCACTTAGGGCAGTGAAAAGTGCGTGTATTGTGCTCAAGTATTATTATTATATCTTTTTTTATTTTATTTTATTTTTTTTTTATTTTATTTTATTTACACAGCGCTGCTTTACAGTGTACAGAGTGCGTAATTTTATTCAGTGCTTACCGTGAATGTGTGCACATGTTATTGCTCTTTCTTTTTCTTTTTTTTTTTTAATCTTTTCTCTCATAGTGCTACAGCGAAAACTCAATATTTATGCAAGATAATTTGTTTATGAGGTATCTTCATACATCTCCTAATCAAATTTTCAGTGCTGCGAAAGTATAGTGTTCTTGCAGTTATCTCATCTTATAGTGCTATAGTGCATACTTTACTATCAGTTTATGTGATTTGATTGCGCATCTTCTCATAGTTTAGTTTAGTCCAGAAGTGTGTGCATCGTGTTCTAACAGTCATTTGTTTATTACTCAGTGCTGTGTAATAGTGTGCGCGATTATCACTCTGTGCTTACTTAGAACTGTTTAGTATATAAAGTTAAAGTGTGTGCGTCACATTTTATATAAAACAAATATATATATATATATATATATATATATATATATATATTCCTCTTATAGTGCTACAACCCTTTTAGTGCTCAATATACAAGAAAGTCTATTAGCTTATGAAGTTTCATTATACATCACTTCATCCACTTTTAGTGCCGTGAAAGTGCACGCATTGTGTTCTCGCAACTATCTTACCTATTTTTGCTACGGTACATGCTTAGTACTCTAACCCAAGTGCATGCAATCTGATCGTGCATCTCCTCATTCAAGTTTAGCGTTGTGAAGTGTGTGCATTGTGTTCCGCTACCTTTCCTTACTGTGCTATCGTGTAAACTCAGTATTCCTGGAATATTGCAGATGCATGTGCATCCATCATTCATCTCATCATTCGTTTTTTATGCTCTGAAAGCATCTTCATTGTTTTCTCTTACTTACTATGCCTTCGGATACTCCCCCCATCACCAGCCGGCAAGGAGCATAATATTCAACATTCTCCCCCTTCTGTTAAAGGTGCCGCTGTCACATCGATACCTAACTCCAGGTTGTAAGCAATTAACCACATCTGTAACCAACTCCAGTTATTCATCTTACAAGCAAAGGAATCTCGCAGACTAAACGCTTCTGAAAGAAAGCAATTTACATCTTTTGTGAACACCGTTCGCATAACGTTAACGGAACAAGAGGTTTATCTCGCCCAGTTACAGGGACAAGTCTTGGCTCTGCAACAACAGCAACTCGCACACAGTTTACAGCCACCTCACGAGAATCCGCAACATTCCGAGTCTTATCAAGCAGTGGAATCCTCAGCCCCAGAAGAACAGTCCATAGAAGAATATCCCTTCACTGAGGTGACACGAAAGAAGCGGAAAACTTCATCCCCTTCAGGATCTTCTCCAGTTCTATCGGAGCACGTTCTATTATTAAGGTCAAAGAACTCCAAACGGACACCCGAAGGAATTAAAGCTCAACTTTCGGCAGATTTCAAACCCTTCCAGCTAGGGATCACTTTAGTGCAGATTCGGCCCACAAGGTCCAGAGAGCTTCTCATCCGGTGTCGAGAAAACGCTCACCTGCTACGCCTGAAACAGGCAATCGAGGACAGGCCAGCACTACTAGAAACACTTGAATTTCGGGAGCCCAAGCCAAGAAGGGAAAGTGTAATTATTTTTGGAGTGCCTGAGAATCTAGAAAAAGAAGATCTAACAGTAGCACTTGTAGACCAACTGCCCAATTTCAATCCCAGTGCTTTTCAAATACGAGCGAGCCGTTCCGGGCAAAGCGGAAGGAAAAACTGGGTGATAGACATAGACCCTAAGTCAGCAGAACACCTAGTTAAGCTAGGCCGTCTTTTAGTGGATTTTGAGTCTTGTCCTCTCCGTCCGTACATTAGGATCATACGCTGCTACAACTGCCAGGAGTTCGGTCACTATAGCAGGAACTGTAAAAACGCTCCAGTTTGCGCGAAGTGTGGGTAACAGGCCACCTGACGCAGGAGTGTGTAGCTCGGAAAAAGTGAGTTGCACTAATTGCTGCAGTAGTAATTCTGAAAAGGGGAACCTCTTTCAGCACAGATCACCCAGCTACTTCAAGTTCCTGCCCAGTGTATGGAGCCCATTTCGAGAGCCTGAGAAGGACCACTGCTAAGAACTAAACCAAGATGACACTAAATAAAAAGCAGGTCTTCGATTTTTACAGTGTAACTTGCAGAAGTGTAAAGTGCTATTGCAGCAACCATACATACGCTGCAAGTAATGACACATACTGCTGCCAATGTCGGAATCTTCCAAGAGCCATCGTTTACAAACGGAGTGATGATCTTAGTGTTCCAACACACAGCAGAACGTTTCTGTCAAAGAATCAGCTAGCTGCGATTATTTACAGTGGCCCTCTCTCCCCTCTCCTAATGAAAATCACAGAGCATACAGTCTCCATCAGACTAGACCACTAGTAATTGCAGCATTGATATTATTGCTGTGTTCTACCCCCGAGCGAAGATATTACCTCTCTATTAGAAGAACTTAATTCTAACCTTCTAACTGGGGCATCACACTGTATCATAGCAGGAGACTTTAACGCCACCAGTCAACTATGGGGTGCTGACTCGGAGAACCGAAGGGGAAGTGCGGTACTAGAATTCTTGGACAGTAAGCATTTTATTGTCATCAACGCTCAGGATTCACCGCCTACCTTTGAAACATCTAGAGCTCGAGGGTAGCCAGATCTGACAATACCAACTCCCAATACAACACCGTACATACAAGATTGCACAGTGAGTGACCTGCCATCACTCAGTGATCACAAAATTATTACTTACAGGCTGGATACTCCTATAGACTACATAATAAAGAAAAGATTCAAAACGGCATTTGGAGGACATTCCGTTTTACGGGAACACATTCGAACGCATGTAGAGAGAGACAGAACGGAGGACGTGGGCACTATCCCTTTATCAAACGGTTAATTAGTATAGCACCACGTCCACCACTATCTATAGCACCCCTTTAAAATACATAATGCCACCTGAAAGGTATTCAACGTGCACGACAAGACATACAATATAATATGTTACAGAGTTACAGATTAATATTCAAGATACATTACTGGTACATTACTGATACAAACATGACAGATGCTGAACTGAAAAAAGGCTGATATAATACTAATATTAACACTGATTCATATTGCTACAGTACTGATACATTGATATAACACTGAATATTATTACTGATTAAAAGGGAATGATTTTGCATAAGTCGGTAAATAAATCCACGAAATAATACGTTACAGAGACTCAAAATATTGCGAATTAAAATATCACAAATGAATGTTCTACTGTTACATTTCTTGTACTATTGTACTCTCTATAGCACCCCTTCAAAATACATAATGCCACCTGAAAGGTAATCAACGTGTACGACAAGACATACAATATAACATGTTACAGAGTTACAGATTAATATTCAAGATACATTACTGGTATATTACTGATGCAAATATGACAGATGCAGAACTGATTAAAGGCTGATATAATACTGGTACTGATATTAACACATTAATACTGCTACAATACTGATACATTGATATAAAACTGAATATTAATACTGATGAAATGGAAATGATTTTGCACAAGTCAGTAAATAAATCCACGAAATTATACTTTACAGGGTTACAGCCGAAAACATCGCGGAAAGAACATTGCGGACGAAAACGTCGTGCTACAAAACATCGTGGGAGAAAACATCGCAAAGAGAAAACATTGCAGTCCTAAAACATCATGGTACAAAACATCGTCGTCGAAAATAAAGCAGTTCAAAAACTTCGCAGTTTAAAAACATCGTCGTCGAAAATATCGCGGTAAAAAATAAAGTACCTACAAATCATCGCATGACGATAACATCGCAGACATGCTTTTTTTCAGGCTTTTAATAACTGTTAATGGATATTCCCATAATGATTCGTGAG